AACACTATTCATAATAGCTTCACTTGAATATTTGATAAGTCTTTCAATCTCATTCAAAGGTGGGATAATTAAGGATAGGAGTTAAGTAACAGTATGGGTGAATAAAATAAAGATAAATCTCAGGCTCAAAGGGGCTAGCAATGAAAAAAAAATTAGGTGGCCTATTTTAGCCAGTGTTATATAGAATAAAGTGCCTTTATCATCTAATTTATGCATGCATCAAGAGAGAAACAAAGCAAGTTCTAGAGTACTACTATAGTAAGGTCTCTAAATAAAAATTATATTGTTTAGGCTCAAACCTCACATGTTATGGTACCAAGCTAGAATATTATTCTTATTTTCAAATCAGAATATTATCCAAATGTCATCAAAAGGAAAATCATTCAAAGGGGCAGTCATATTCTCCTAAATGAAGTTCAATGCAATATCATGACAGAAAATTCATGGTGAACCTTCAACAATGTCACTTGTGCTTTCTAAAGTCTATTCAGGTTTGTTAACCAATTCAGCTCATACTAACTTAGAACAACATTCAGAGATCAGTAGAATAAGAAAAGAAAACTAAAAATAAAAAAATTAAAATAAAATATAAATATAAAAGAATTGAGATATCTCCTCTGAATTTGAAAATTTTTGTTAGGTGTCTTTCTCTTGGTATCTACTCCTCAGTCAAACATGTTATGCGCCCACAATTTTCAGATTTAGAACATTGTTGTCCTCAGCAATAAATTCTATATGCAAGGCGAATCAATTCTGCACACTTAAAACACTCACGCAGAGATTGCAATAAAAATAAAATGATAATACGAACAACAAAGATCAAAGCGTGAGTAAATATCTCAATACAGTACTAAAGGAAAAAGAAATAAAATCAACAAAATAAAATAAAATAAATAGTACGAAATAAAAAATCTGATTGGGTTGCCTCCCAATTAGCGCTTGTTTAATGTCACGAGTCTGACATACCCCTTTTGATTATGGAGGCTGGTAGCTTGAGCTTAAGGATGACGTCATTCCCTTGCTCAAAATTTGTGTCCTGCCATGATGGTACTCATACGCATTTAGGTGAGGAAGAGTGGTCTCAGGAATTTTAACCTTAGTCTTCACATGTTTTTTCTTGTTCTTGGGCTTTTCCATCTTAACCTTTGGCTTGCGTTCCTTATACTACTTATGTCCTTCTCGTTCTCTTCCTTAACATTTTTCTCAGTAATGTGGTTAACTTGATTTTCAGGTTGAGATGCAGGCAATGGAGCTTCCTTTGTAATTATCTTGAATGTTGCTCGCTCTCCCTCTACCCTTAATATCAACTCGCCCTTAGGTACATCGATTAGTGCTCCTGAGTTTACTAAGAATGGCTTACCAAAGATAATAAGAACACTGTAATCTTCATTTATGTCAAGGATAACAAAATCAATAGGGATTAGAAAGTTATCTACCTTGACGAGCACATCTTCCACAATACCATATGCCTGCTTTGTTTAGCGGTCGATGAGTTGAACATTCATCTTGGTTGGCTTCACTTCATCAATTCCTAGCTTTTTCATCAGGGACAGTGGCATCACATTGATGCTGGCACCAGGATTGCATAAGACTCTAGCAATAGTCATCTTGTCAATGGTGCAGGGAATGCTGAAACTCCCCGAATCCTTTAGCTTTGGAGGCATCTTCCTCTGTATGATCGCACTGCATTCCGCTGTTAGAACAACATGTACATCCTCTGTGAGCTTTCTCTTCTTAGATAAGATCTCTTTCAAGAACTTGGCATATGAAGGCATTTGTTCCAAAGCTTCTGCAAAAGGAATGTTAATATGCAATTTCTTAAAAATATCTAAAAATTTATACAATTGCTTCCTTTGCTCTTGTTGATGGGTCCTTAGTGGATAGGGTGCTTTAGCATATGGATTCGGTTGACTTAAGCCCTTGGGAAGATTCCTTACAGCCCTCTTATCACGATTGATTGCTCCTCCAAAGTAGGTTACATCATCATAATTAGGAGTTTCTTCTTGTTTAGTATCCTCCTATTTTGTCTCCTCCTTCTTTGGGACTTCCATGTCTACTTTAACAGGCTTCTCTTGAGGTTCAATCACCTTTCCACTTCGAGTGGTGATTGCATTGCAGTACTCCCTTGGATTGACCACAATGTCACTTGGCATTATTATAAGAACCCGCACCATTAATTTAGAAATTTAATTAATTAATTATGAGATTAATGAGATAATTCCATAATTGACCCTAATAATTATAAGAAGGCTTATATAATTATGGTAAGTGGTTAATAATGTGGAAAGTCGCTTTTCTGACGAAAAGTGCAGATACCGGTTCTGCCTCATTGTATAAATGTGTACCGATGAAGTATCCCGGAAAATTATGAAAAGTATCTATATGTCACTAGAATAATATATATGACTAGTATAACAAGTTTGGAGTCAAAATAATGAGAACTAGTGTCAGAACTGATATCGGCTACGTAAAAGCGCGTACCAGAAAAGTGCTGCAAAAATAAAATAAAAGTATGAAAAAATTTAGAAAAATGGCTAGGTTCAGAATCCTAAGTTTGTGATTAAAACCCTAAGCGTAGCTATTAGTGCTAATACAGTGTGATTAAAACTTAATGAGGCTATATATAGGATGGCACATGATCCTAGGTCAGAATTTTTGTGCTTTACGTGAGTGTTGCTGAACCTTAGCTGCTGCCACCTTCTCCCTTGGTCACCATTGCATGAGAAACCCTCTAAGTCATCTCTTTTCTTTGATTTCTTCATCTTTAAACAAGTAAACACTTGGGTGTGAGCATTGGTGAGTGAGAAAGGTGTCATCTTCTGAGTTGTGGGTGCTGTGTGTGTGTTGGGAAGAGGCTGCTTCTGAGTTGAGTGGTGTGGAAGTCTTTCCTTTGGTTGTTGAAGCTCCAAGAAGCAATCTTTGTGATGAAAGGACCTTGCTTGAGTGTCATTTTCGTGTACCCTTGGAGTCAGCATCTTGGAGCTGACTTGAGAGCTCTAAGAGCATCATTTATCTCTGCTTTGGAGCTTAGGGTAAGTTGTTGAACCTTGATCATGAGTTTTCTCTAATAAAAGTGGAGTCTTGGCATGTTTAATGAGTTGTTTAAGTAACCAACACCATCACTGACCTAAATGAGTTTAAAGATGCATGCTTTAACGTTTTTAAGTGTTAAAAATGGAACCTTTGAGTGATATCTTCGCGAAATACAGAAACTGTATTCTGTCGCGAAATATCCAGATATTGATATTCAGATATGATATCCGGATATTGATATCCAGATATGGGACTGGTGATATCCGGATATGATATCCCCGACAAATATCCGGATATTCTGGAAATTTTGAGACAGTGACAGTTCTGTTCAGAGAGAACTGTATCATGGGTTTATGGACCCATAATTGGTTAAGCGAACCTCTGTAATAATTAATCTAAGTCAGAATCAAAGTGATTAAGGGCTTATGACTTTGTGAGAAGCCTAAAGACATGAAACATAAAAGGGAAAGCGTTGTCTTTATGTCGTATGTTTGTAGACTATGATTGTTGATATGATTGCTGGTCTAAAACAAATTGTGATTCTGCTGTTTGTGGACTTTGAGCTTGGTTGGACTCTTGGTTGGATAGTTAGCTTGCGAGGTAAGCCTTCGTGTCCTCGGTTTAGCCATTGTTGGTTCCACCATACCCCATGGGGGGATAGTTTATATGCATGATGTGTTTTCATGTATTGATTTTGAAATGCTGTTGAGCTGTTATGTGCAAGTGCTTATAATATGCATGTGTTGTTCCACCTAGACGGTAAGCCTGTGTATGTAGGAGACATACCATAGGGTGATTCTATGGGTGGGTGTAAATAGTGACTTGCACTGATTGTAGGTAATAGACGTATGTAAATCCTGCATTTCTCTGGCCAGTAGAATAGTTGACACACATGACATGATTATTCTGCTGCATTGCACTGATTTTGGAACTTATATTATATTACTGCCTTTGAACTTATATTGCACATGTAAGTGAGCTTGGGGTGGAGAAATCCTTGAGGACCTCTTGCCTTACTGAGATTTCTGTTTAGAGATCTCACCCCACGTTTTGGGCACATTTTCAGGTTCAGGTAATTCGGGGGTTGAGACCTCGGGCGGCAGGAGGCCGGAGCTGAGTTAGATATCTGCTGCTTGTGATGATATGTTGGATGCTGACATGTTGTTTATTTATTACCATGTTGTTTGATTTGAGACTCTGTTGGGCTTTGTTGCCTTATTTGGTGAGCATGGGGGTTTTCCATGCCACATTGATTGACTATGTCTTATTTGGTTTTGTGTTGTATTAATGTATCAGGATTATGGTCTGAACTATGTGTTGTGGTTTCGCGACTTAGATACTCTATTTATATTATGAGGTTATTCAGTGTATTCAGTCTTATTGCAATTGACATACATGCAATGTTTTATTATAAAGGATTAAGTAATCAACTCGGTAATGTTAATGACGTCATAATTGAAAAGAAAAAGTTAATTCTGCATTTTTAATTAAGTGTTGCTTAATACGATGACATGATAACAAACCGGGTATACACGAGGTGTTACAATTGTCCCTGGAGTTCTTTCATTCAATTGCTTGGCCAGCTGTCCAATCTGAGTTTCAAGATTACGAATTATGGCCTCTTGATTCTTGAAATTTGACCTTATATCTTGCATAGAAGCATTAGTGGTAGTGGTTATTGTCTCTACAAGCTTCTCCAAGGCTAAAAATGAGCTAGGTCGCACAGACTGTTGCGACTGTTGTGGTTGTGGATTGTAAGAGAGAGCCGAATTATTCTTCCACCCCATGTTGTTATTGCCTTGGTAGTTGTTTCTTGATGGATTACCTATGTAGTTAACCTCTAGAGGTTGAGCTAATGGACAACTTGCAATTGAGTGTCCCTCAAAATATATGTCACGAATTACCAGCTCTTCAGCATTGATAGCAGAAATTTGATTCTTAGCAACCAGCTTTGTGAGAGACTCCATTTACTTCTGCAAGCTCTGTTGACCAGTCATCAATATGCCGAATTTATCCACTTGAAGAATGCCTTTTTTTGAGCTGGGTATATCCTCATTCTCTTCAGCAACTAATTCTTCAATGAGTCATAGAGATAAAGATAGAGCTTTGTTAAATAATGATCCATTAGTAGCCGCATTCAAAAATCTTCTATCAACAACACATATAACAAGGTAGAAAAGCCTCACTATATCTCCTATTTGAAGAGCATATTGCGGACAAATTGTCAATAGGATTTTGAATCTCCTCCCAGCTGTGCCAAATAATTTCCCATCATGTTGGGAGAAATGGTTGATCTCTCGGTTTTTCTTTATGAATTTAGAAAGAGTAAAGAATTTTTTTCTTAATTTTACCACCAAATCCTCCATGATGTGATGCTTCCTTCAGGTTCATTCCTTAGTCATTCCCTTGCTTTTTCTTTCAGTGAAAATGGAAAGAGTATCATACTAATTGCATTAGTGCTAACTCCATTATGCTTGTGAAGCTGGCATAACTCCAAAAATCCTGACACATGAAGATTGGGATCATAGTCTTCTTCCCCCAAAAATTGATTGTTCTGGAATGTAACACTCTGTGTGCACCCGGTGTATTAAACATACACATGGTAGTAGCACAGCTAAATAAATGTGGAAGTTAACTTTTTCTTTTCAATTATGAACATATTTAATTAACCAAGTTGATTTACTTATTCCTTTCAAAATACCGCTTGTATGTAAATTGCAATAAATAACTACAATGAATATCCTTATATCATAAATAGTATCGAGTCACGGAACTACAACACGTAGACCAGACCATATCCTGATACATAAGTACAACTCAAGTATTAAATAACATAACTGATATCAATGTGGCATGGACAACTCCCATGCTCACCAAATAAGACAACATAGCCAACAATGTCTCAAATCAAACAACAATACGCTACTAGCAAAGCATAATCAGTATCCAGGCATATCAATAAAGCAGCATGCATAATCAACTCAACTTTGGCCTCCTGCCACCAGAGGTCTCAACCTCAGAGGTACCTGTACCTGAAAATGTGTTCCAACACGGGGTGAGATCTCTAAAAAGAAATCTTAGTAAGACAAGGGGTCCTTAAGGATCTCTCCACCCCAAGCTCACTTACCTATGCAATATAAGTTCCAAAAGCTTAATAACATTATAATTTCATAATCCGTGCAATGCAACATATATCCATGTCATGTGTGTATATACATCCTACTGGCCAGAGAATAAAAGGTAGGGATTACGTATGCCTACAACCCACAGTACTCATGTACCTCACCCACGGAGTTACCATCTTGTATGTCTCCACATACTCAGGGATTACCATGTAGGTGGAATACCCCACATACCTATCATATGGAAATGCACTCATAAAACAGCTCAACATCATATCAAATATTCTTCACATAATTTCAGAAATATACATCATGCATATAAACCATCCCTCCATGAGATATGGTGAAACCAACAATGGGCAAAACCAAGAACACGAAAGCTTACCTCGCAAGCTAACAATCCCAACAAAGAGTCCACACTAGTCCACGATCACCAAACAGTGCAATCACAATCTGTTTAGACCAGAAACATTATCAACATACATAATCTAGAAGTTCATTACACTACGACAACATTTCCTTTTACGTTTAATGCCCTTACGCTTCTCTCAATGCCATAAGCCTTCAATCTAAGTGGTTCTAACTTAATTAAATTAGTACAGAGGTCCACATTAACCAATCAAGGGTCCAGAAACTCAATCTATACTACTGTTTGGATAGAACAGATCAATGCACGAATTTTTTCAAAATATCCGGATATTTCACGGGGGCATGTCCGGATATCATATCCGAATATTTCGTGACATAATGTAGTTCTTGCATTTAGTGAAGACATCATTCTTAGACTCTACTTTTTATGTTTCCAGACGTTCAAGCATGCATTTTTAGGTGTGTTATACCTTACTAACACTTAAGTTATTATCTTTCACTTATTACATGCATCAAGGTTAATTCTTTATATCAAAGTTCAAGAACAAAAGTTAAGGTATATACCCAAAGGCTCCAAAACAGAAGAAATGGATGATCTTGGAGCTCTCTCCTCAGGTCAACAACACTGCCATCACAAGACTACGAAATGGTTCACAAGTTTGGTCCTTTCTTCCACCCAATGGCCTATTGAATCATCAACTACTAAGGAAATGGCTCCTACACCACCCAACCAAGAAGAACAGTCCCCAAGCCTCCAAGTCAGCAGCCAAAAACCCACCAGGAATGGTTCTTTCACAAAGAAGATGAAGGCTTTTGAGTATCTAATGAGTTTTGGTGGAAGGAAACAAAGAAAAGGTGATCACTTTGGGTTTTCTTGGAGAGGGGAGTGCATAAAGGAGGTTCAGAAACACAAGGCAGCAAGGAGGCACGTAAGGTGTGTGAAAATATGCCCTAGAAATCTGTGCCTTTAGTATATATAGGTGCAGTAAAATAATCCATCGGTATTAGCTCTAATAGCTTCGCTAATCATTTTAATCTCAAACTTCAGATTCTGAACCTAGCCATTTTTCTAGGATTTATCATATTTTTATAATAATTTTCGCAGTACTTTGCTGGTACGCATTTTATAGGTAGCCGGTATAAGTTCTAACGTCAGCACTCATTATTATAACTCAAACTTACTATACTTGACCTAGGTATTTTTCTAGGAATATTCATGTACTTATTATAATTTTTCTGGATACTTCACTGGTACTCACTTATACCGTGAAGCAGAACCAGTATCTGCACTTTTCATCAGAAAAGCGACTTTAAGTATTATTCGTATTTCTAAATATTCATCTTACCATAATTATGCAACTCTTTATCAAATTCAAGCTTCGACATAGCTAATCTTATTTAATTAATTATTTAGCGGTGTGGGTTCTTACACTCACCCTACCTTTTAAGAATTTTGTCCGCAAAATTAGAGACATACCTATCCCTAAACTCGGGGTATTGTCGCAGAAGCTCGTCCTTCCACTCCCAAATATGCTCCTCTGGAGTTCTTCCTTCCCATTGCACTTTGACCATGGGGATGACCTTGCTTCTTAGTTTCTTCTCACCACAATCAAGTATCTTGAGTGGTCCGACGGGAGTCTTTAAGTTCTCCCGAATTTCCACCTCATCCGGTTGCACCACGTGCGAAGGATCCGCTATGTATCTCCGAAGCTGTGACACATGAAACACGTCATGGATATTGGCTAAGTTCAGAGGCAAGGCAAGTCGGTAGGCAACAGGACCTACCTTACCAAGTATCTGGTATGGCCCAATGAATCTCGGGCTAAGCTTCCACACTCTGAGAGCGCGACCAACATCGGTGACAGTGATATTCTCACAAACACGTGCTCACCTTCACTGAACTCTAGTGGCCGATGTTTGTTATTATAGTAACTCTTCTGGCGGTTCTGTGCTTGCTTCAGCTTCTCTCTGATCATCTGGATCTGCTGGGTAGTCTCTTGGACAAAGTCCAAACCAAATAACTCACGATCTCCAACCTCAGACCAACAGGTAGGAGTCTGACACCTCCTACCATACAATGCCTCGTAGGGTGCCATGCCCAGGCTAGCTTGAAAACTTTTGTTGTATGAAAAATCAACCAATGGTAGATATTGATCCCATGCTGAGCCCTGCTCCAATCCTCCAATGTCTGGATGGTCCGCTCAGTTTGTCCATTAGTCTGAGGGTGATAGGTTGTACTCAATCTCAACTGAGTACCAAAAGCTCCCTGCAGCGCCTCCTAGAACTGAGATGTGAACTTCGGGTCCCTATTACTAATGATACTCTCGAACACCCCGTGAAGTCTCACAATCTCGTGAACATATAGCTTGGCCAATTGCTCTGTAGTTAAGATCACCTTCACAGGAAGAAAATGGGCAGACTTAGTCAATCTGTCCACAATGACCCAGATAGAGTCGAAACCGCCCTGAGTCTTAGGCAGTCCCACCACGAAGTCCATGGAAATGTTTTCCCTCTTCCATTGCGAAATCTCAAGAGATTGAAGCTTACCAGACGGTTTCTAGTGGTTGATCTTCACTTTCTGACATATCAAAAATTTGGACACAAACACCGCTATATCCTTCTTCATGCCCGACCACCAGAAATTCCTCTTCAAGTCTTGGTACATCTTTGTAGCCTCAGGGTGGATAGTGAATTGGCCCTTATGAGCCTCTGACATCACCTCCTCAGTCAATGGCCCTCTAGGTACTACAATCTTTTTCTGGAACATCAATAATCCCCCATCATTCCATGGCATACCGTCTTGGTTCTTCACATGATTTAGGCACTCTCTTTGCACTTGCGTCTCTTTGATCTTCTCCATTAGCTCATTGTCAACTCTCACAGTTTTCATCTGAAGAAGTGCACCCCTAAACAAAGAGGTCACTGCCAAATCTCAAAATTTCTCAATCACATCAAAAGCATTAAGCATCAAACTGGATAAACTGACGGATTTCCGACTCAAGGCATCCGCTACCACAATGGCCTTGCCTGGGTGGTACTTCAACTCAAAATTGTAGTCCTTGAGAAATTCCATCCACCTTCTTTGTCTCATGTTCAGCTCCTTCTGGTCAAACAGGTACTTCAAGCTCTTATGATTGCTGAACACCGCAAACTTCATACCGTACAAATAATACCTCCAAATCTTAAAGGCAAAAATAATAGCAGCCAACTCCAAATCATAAGTCAGGTAATTCTCCTCATGAGGCTTTAACTGCCTCGAAGCATAAGCAATAAATCTACCAGTCTGCATCAACACACAGCCCAGCCCCTTCATAGAGGCGTCACAATACAACTCAATCTGTTCAGCAGGATCAGGAAGAATCAACATTGGAGCAGAGGTCAATCTCCCCTTCAACTCCTGAAAGCATTCCTCACACTCGTGAGTCCATACAAATAGAGTCTCCTTCCTGATAAGGCGAGTCAGTGGCAATACCATCTTGGAGAATCCCTCAAAGAACCTCCTATAGTAACCTTCCAAACCCAAGAAACTCCTCACTTTTGTACCCGTTTTGGGTCTCTCCCAATCCAACACTGCTTCAATCTTGTTTGGATCTACTGCAACTCCTTCTACAGAAATCACATGCCCAAGGAATTTCACTGAATTGAGCCAAAACTCACACTTAGAAGGCTTTGCATAAAGTTTCTTCTCCTTAAGCACCTGTAACACAATCCTCAAATGCTCTGCATGCTCCTCCTCATTCTTGGAGTAAATCAAAATATCGTCAATGAAGACGATCACGAAACGATCCAAGTATGGCTGAAAGATACAGTTCATGTAATCCATGAACACTGCTGGTGCATTGGTGTGTCCAAAGAGGATCAACAAATACTTATAATGATCGTATCTCGAATGAAACGCGGTCGTGGGGACGTCCTCCGGTTTAACCCAGATCTGATGGTATCCGGATCGAAGATCAATCTTGGAATACACGCAAGCACCCCTAAGTTGATCCAACAGATCATCAATACGAGGGAGGGGATACTTGTTCTTGATTGTCACCTTGTTCAACTGCCTGTAATTGGTACACAATCGCATTGTCCCATCATTCTTCTTAATAAAAATGACCGGTGCTCCCCATGTAGACACACTCGGTCAGATGAAGTCTTTCGCGGAGAAATCATCAATGTGCTTCTTCAATTTCGCTAACTCAGGTGGAGACATCCGATATGGAGCTAAAGAAATAGACCCCACACCAGGCAACAGATCAATGGAGAACTCTATCTCCCGCTGTGGCGGAAACTCAGGAATCTCCTCAAGAAACACCTTGAGGAATTCCCTCACCACAGGAATGCCAGTAATATCCTCATGTGTCCCATTTGTAACACTCCGTGTATACCCAGTTTGTTATCATGTCATCGTATTAAGCGTTGCGTAATTAAAAATGCGGAATATCTTTTTCTTTTCAATTATGACGTCATTAATATTAACCAAGTTGATTACTTAGTTCCTTTTCAAAACATTGCTTGTATGTAATTGCAAATGAACAGCTATGTACACTAAATAACCTCATAATATAAAGATGTGAGTATCTAAGTCACGGAACTACAACACGTTGTCCGGACCATAATCCTGATACATTAATACAACTTGAATTCAAAATAAGACATAGTCAATCAATGTGGCATAGACAACCCACATGCTCACCAAATAAGGCAACAAGCCCAACAGAATCTCAACAATAACAACATAATTATAAAGATAGCAGAAAACATGCCAGCATCCAATCATAACAGTATAAGCAGCAATGTCTAACTCAACTCCGGCCTCCTGCCGCCCGAGGTCTCAACCCCCGAGTTATCTGAACCTAAAATATGTGCCCCAAACGTGGGGTGAGATCTCTAAAATGAAATCTCAGTAAGACAAGGGGTCCTCAAGGATTTCTCCACCCCAAGCTCACTTACATGTGCAATATAAGTTCTAAAAGCAGTTTAACAATATAAGTTCCAAAATCAGTGCAATGCAGCAGATAATCATGCCATGTGTGTCACCTATTCTACTAGCCAGAGAAATGCAGGATGTACGTACGTCTACAACCCACATAGTACACGCCCATGCCATACCTGCCCACAGGATCACATTCCCGTCTAGGCGAAACATCACATACATATCATAGGGCATTTGCACTCAACAACTCAAAAGCATTTCAATAAATCAATACATGAAAACACATCATGCATATAAACCATTCCCCCATGGGGTATGGTGGAACCAACTATGGCTAAACCGAGGACACGAAAGCTTACCTCTTAAGCAATCAATCCAAGCCAAGTTCACACAAGCTCAAAGTCCACACACAGCACAATCATAATCTGTTTAGACCAATACTCATATCGATATTCATACTCTACAAGCATATAACACAAAGACAACGCCTTCCTTTTACGTTTCATGTCTTTAGGCTTCTCACAAGCTATAAGCCCTTAATCCCATAGATTCTGACTTAGATTAAATATTACAGAAGTCCACATTAACTAATCATGGGTCCACAGACCCAAAATATCATTCTGTATGAATAGTACAGTTACTGTCATGAAATTCCCAAGATATCCGGATATATCGGGGGCATATCCGGATATGGATATCCGGATATCATATCCGAATATCCATATTCGGATATCACAAGACCCCATATCCGGATATCAATATCCGGATATGATATCCGGATATGATATCCGGATATCAATATCCGGATACCATATCCGGATATTTCGCGACAGAATGCAGTTCTGCATTTCGCGAGATATCCTTCCCAAAGGTTGCTCTTTTAACGATTCAAGAAGCTTAAACATGCATTTCTAGGTGTGTTTAACCTTACCCAACCTTATGTTATGAACTTTGTCTTATTACATGCATCAAGGCTTCATTTTTAACTAAGGAAACTCATGATCAAGGTTGGTGAAGCTTACCAACAGTTCAAAACAGAGAAAGGAATGCTCTTGGAGCTCTCACAACAGCCACAAGACTCTGACTCCACAAAGACACGAAAAAGCCAAGAAAGCAAGGTCCTTTCTTCCCAAAGGTTGCTTCTTGAAGCTACACAAGCAAGGAATAATGGCTCCTTACCCACAAACAGTGAAGTCAGCCCTTAAAACACTCATAAACAGCACCTCCCACTAAGAAGGTAGCTGACTCTCTTTCTCACAATGTTAACTGATATGCCTCCAGCATATATATAAATCTAGGCCAAAAAGAGAAAGAATATTGATTAATCTTGAATAAAAAGACAAAATTTACTGTTGATTTGTTAAAATCTCAATCAAAGATTGTACAATTGATTTTCTTTCGATTTTGTAGGAAAAAATGGACAATAAGGAGCCAAATTTGGAAGTAACAAATCAAAGTCCCACTCTACTAGCGTGAAACTCACGCTAGTAGCGCCAGAAGCAAAAATCAGCCAGAGACATCCACGCTCACAGCGTGGGAACCACGCTAGTTGCGTGGGCTTCCAAAAATGTGAATAAAACTCCCACGCTATTGTTAGTATTTGGGTGTCCTAGAGAAAATCTTATGATTAAATAAGGACATAGATGTAGACCTTTTAAATATTGTCGCAAATAAATAAAAGCACTCTTTATCTTGTTTCATAATTATGTCTCGATATTAATGTTAATATATTATGAATAACTTGATAAACCCCGTGGAATAAAATAGGTATCTCTTGAGTATCTGTGATGAGATCACAATCATGAGGATTCAAGAATACCGGATGTTTATTCCTAATTTTATGTTCCTAGTCTAGAGATACTGAGAATGGGGTCTGTAATCTCGGGTAAGACTAGCACGACTTATCTACTTGTATATGGATACAAGGTATAGACCTCATGTGCTACAGATATGGAGATGTCTTAGCTAAAGTCGTGGGTGGACCTATAAGGGTATAGCTCGCACTGAACGGACCCTCAAAGAGACTCTATGAGGAAATCTCACAGATAGTATCATTAGAGTAATCTCTATATATTTGGGTATGTCTTTCCTCAGACCAGAAGTTATCACTTAGACTGTGTTCTAGAAGGCATGCCTTGATTGTATACCTCGTCTGCCTGAAACATGGAGACTCATAGGTATGCTCTTGGGCTTGTCCTGATAGGGCACAAGGCTAGGGTAATAAGCTGAAGGAATTCGTCAAATCTCTGTGAGAGATTAGGTTATCCTTAAATCGGAGAAATCGGGATGATATTTACAGTGACTCAGGAATCTATGCATAGTAAAAGAGATCATAAGATGATCTGCCTTTAGAGTCAGTAAATTGAAGACTCCCTATTTCATAAAAAGCTAACCCTAAACCGCAAGGGTTGATGCGTTTCCTTACCCTAGGTTTTATGGGAAGGTAACCGAGACGAAGGGACAAACATACGGCAACCAAATATGTTTAATAGGATGATCAAATCATTAATCTAACTAGTTCTGGGGCAACAAAGCATTGCTAGTGCTCTGTGTTGTCATTAGATGGGTTGTGGGCTTATTGGGCCAAAGCCCATTTATGTCAGTGGCTAAGTTGGACCTAATGGGTCACACACAAACACCTAATTGTCTAGATGCTCTAGCATTAAAGGTATTGGGCCTAATAATAGTTATTAGCCCAAGAAGTTGTTTGGAACTCCACCTAAAGGGATGGAGGGCGCATGGATCATTGTAATGGGCTTGGATAGTCCAAGACATTACTAATTAATTTAATTAGTTAAATTAATTATCAAACATTTAAATTTTGAATTATTGAATTCGAAATTTGAATTTTGAAATTTTGAATTTTGAATTTGAATTTCGAAATTCGAATTTTGAATTTGAAATTTGAAATTTGAAATTTGAATTCGAATTTTGAAATTTGAATTTTGAAATTTGAATTTTGAATTTTGAATTTGAATTTTGAATTTGAATGTTTGAACATTTGAATTTGAATATTTGAATGTTTGAATTCAAATATTTGAATTTGAATTTGAATTGCCTATGAAAGGTTGTTTCATAACAAAAGGATAAGATGAGATCTTGTTGGAACAAATCACTAGTATCATGAGAGAATCTTTTGGACAAGATCCAAGTAGATTTTGGACATAATCCAAGGCTATATATGGCGCTGATTTGGGCTGTTGGTGAGCAAGATTTGCTCATCAAAATCAGCTCCAGAAGATTCAGTCAGTTGGGAGAAAATCTGAGTGAGTTGATTCAAATTTGAATGCAACTACTCAGACGTATCTGGTCAACTTTTTGGGCTATATGGGGCGCACCATATAGCTGATCTTATGAAGATTTCTGATCAGAATTTTGAATAGGTTTTGAACTAATTCTCAAGAGAATATTCCAGGAGCCTGTTAGCAATTTTTGAAATTAAACAGCTCCACTTCTCTCTCTCTAATCTGGCGCCTAATGATTAGATTTTTGGGAGAAAAATCTTATTGGTATTTTATTTTAAATACTCTCCTCTTATGCGCCTAAGCGATTAGTTGTTCCTCCAAGGGTTTTTTCTGAAAAGCCTAGCCTATTCTCTCTTCTCTCCTGCGCCACTTGTGAAGCTTTCATATTGAGAGCTTCACTCTTTCAAACACTTTCACCTAGCCTCCATCTTCATACATAGAGCGCCTAGCAAGCCTCTTTGTGGTGATCATCCGGTGGCTTCACAAGAAGGAGTTCTTGCACCTAGACGAATGGGTGGTGTGGATCAACGTTAGAGGGTCTGAACCCTTCAGACCTGCCTTGATCATCTGGTGATTTCACGAACAAGGTAACATCATGCTTTCCTAAAGCATGATCTTTATGTGCATGTATATTCCGCAAAGAAAAATTTTGTTTTTTCCTCTTGCATGCATCGGCCTTCAAGGCCATTTCGAACTTTCAAGTGGTATCAGAGCCCGGTTGCTTTACCATCGACGGGTGATGGTACCTTGTTTGTGATCATATTTTTCATGGTTAAAATCTCTTTAAAGGTTAAAGATTCAATTTTTTATGAATGGATTCTAATTTACAATACTTTACACGGTTAAAGTTTTCGTTTGTATGAACATGTTATTTCGAATGCCATGTTCATGCATCCATTCATATCC